ATATTGTATTAATAAATTTAAATAAATTAAAACAAATAATAAATATAATCTTATAAAGCCTCGCCAGTATAGCAATGAAGTGTTTTTGGATGTTAATAAAATTCAGTCGTAAGAGCCCCTCTTCTATCTTCGTTTTAGCAAAAAACTGTCTAATTACAGAATTATTCGATTATCGGCATCATAAATCGTAATGTTATTTGATTGGTGGAGATTAATTTGCTGCGGCTGCGGCTGTGGCGCGTTCATCGTGTAACAGTACTTTGGGGCCGCCTGGCTATTTCCAATATTACCAATTTCGTTTTGCTAGTAAAATGACCTTCCGAGACAATGTTATACAAAATTTAAGTTACACAAAATTTTGACTATCAAAGATAACGTAACACAAATTTAAATAACTTATAAGGTTATTTCAGAACACGAATTTTAGTACATTATTTTAGACCCATGTGTTATTTCTAAATGAAAAAGATCAATTTTTGAGGTGCGTTATTTCAGGCCCATTTGTTATTTCTAAATGAAAAAAATCAATTTCAATCACACATCTAATACCGTAAGAGCTTATCTTCGACAACTATGTACGAAGCTATACCTTCTTCATGCTATAGTCATTTATATCAATTTAATTAATAGTATAAATAAACTCGGTTCCCGAAGATTATATGCCAGGTCTAAAATATTTTTTTTTGAGTAATTATGTGAGATATTTTTTCTGTAAGATATATTTCTGTTCAATACTATTCGTTCGCATCAATTTAGAGCATTCTTAGGCAGCTAGGGCTGTGAATCGATTCTAAAAACCAGAATCGCTGATCGAAAATATGATTAATAGACAACCTAGAATCTCAGAAATTTCTTTCAATCATCATCACAAAAATCATGGGGTCACATCTTTTTGCAAAGTGCAATAATTGTTTGTAAAGATGACTAGAATGATTATACAGAAATAAGAATTGATTCTAATTCGATCAACGATCAAAACGATTATTATAGAATCGATTCACACCCCTATAGTAGCTTTAAAGATGCAGACATTTAAAATTGATAAGAATAGCTATATTTGTAAAATATCACAGCAATTAGGGCATATTTACCATATAAGTACGTGTATGCCCGCGTAAGTCTCATAAGCATCGCGTGTTGTATATAGCGTTGTGACTCAACCCTTTTTGTTATGTACTACGTAGTGGAATAGAAATTTTGGAACTATAGTCAAATTAAATTAAAATGATAATTTCACCACTATCGCTATTGACGTTGAAATGGTGAAATTTGATGAAATTAATTTCACCAGCATCTCTACACAGAACCAATTATCGATAAATTTATTAAATCTGTAATAATAGAAACAATATACATGCATCCAATAATGTAATATAAACAAAATTATATAAGAACAAATACGTACAATGCTGTGGTGTTTGCACCCTTAGTAGAGTGTCCAGGGTACTGCGGTGCATAATTCTGCTCATGCTAAAAATATTTCAAAAAGTGATTTAAATCACATGCCTTTTATGAAAACAATATAAAAAATTATTTTTAGCGTGAGCAGAATTATGCACCGCAGTACCCTGGACACTCCAACCTTAGGCAGCAGCAAGCACCCTTAATATTTATTTGCTAGCGATCGACAATCAATTGAATTTTAATGAAGGATTCATAGTAAGCGTGAGTACATAGTATTGTTAAAAGAAGCTATTTTTGTAAAATGACGAAGGACAAAGCTTATTCCAAATTACGAAACCTCTTGCAGTTAAGGCCTGAAATTCACAATTTCATGCGTACATATGATGGATGTAACTCAAACATAAAAACACTAATTTTGGCTTAGCATGAGAACTATTAAAAACAATAGTTTAATGATAATGTTTCTTTTTAGGTACGTAGTAGAATAGAAGTATCAGTATAAATTAAACAATAAAAATGCTCAGAAACTCCCAATGTAATAAATTGTGCATAAAAAACCCCATCGTTCTCTTGTAATAAGAAGGGAATGGAATGAATTAATAAAGACTTACCCAATGCCAAGGTATTTCTAAACCCAATCGTAGATATCAGTATCTTGTAATGCTCCAAATTACCTTCTTACAATAGTTATCATATCAATCACTACAAATAAGGTCTATTTCATGTCATATACGCACAGTACGTACGTGCTTTTTTAACTTGTAGAATTTTATCTTACAATTTTTTTTTTTTAAATCATATAATTTTTATTACAAAATTTTTTTTAAATTGTATAATTTTTATTGCACAAATTTTTTTTTTTTTTTTTTTTTAATTGTATGATTTTTATCGCACAATTTTTTTTTTTTTTTTTTAAATTGTATGATTTTTTTTAAGATTAGTAATGGAAAATTTAGACCAAGATTCAATTTCTTTAAGACCAGTATATAATCTAATCGAATTGGGATTAGAAGAATATAAAGATAATGAATTGGTTCTTGATACCGTTCATGATTTAATGCAATTTTTTGAACAATCAAATTGCACATGTCGAGTGCATCTAACAGAAAAGACCTTAGAACATGCTATGAAAAAGTTAGATTTAAAAGATTTTTTGAAAGATATTTTCAAGTTAGAGCATTAGAAAAATCTGAACTTGAACTATTTTTAAAAGCACAATTAATAGCTTTTGAGATTTCAGATAATAAATTAGAAGTTCATCAAAAACATAATTATAGATATTGTTATAATTATTCTTTTCCTCTTTGTAAACCTGCATTTTTAAAACTCTATACAATAAATGAATATTTTCTTTTAGCAATGCAAGAACATTTAAAGAATGAAGGTATAACAGAAAGAATTCATGGGAATACTGGTCATGTACCTAAAATAAAAAGTAAAGTATTTCTTAATTTTAGTATTACATTTCTGGTTAAACATTTTTTAGAACAATATGGAACTATTAATGGACTTCCGTCTCCAATAAGACATAAAAATGAATCTGAGCCATTTATTTATCTATCTACTGGAAGCACTTATGTTTCTGTTTACGATGAATTTAAGAAATATTTTTATAACGAAAATAATCAAGATGAAAAAATTATCTCTTACTTTACTTTTAGAAAACTCTAGCAAGAAACAATTCCTCTGATCTTTGCGAAGTTTGTGAAGCTTTTAAAGCAAAGTTATTAGTAGCAAAATCTGATAAGAATAAATACGATCAAATTAAGATTCAATATGATCAGCACCGTGAAGCAGCAGATCGGGAAAGACAACATTACAATAACAATATAAACGAAAGCACAAAAGATTTATCAATTGCGCATATTTGTTATGATTAGGCACAAAGTATATCAATTCCATACTCACCGCAACAAGTAGGAACAATTTATTTTAAAAATTTATTTTCAGTTTCTTTATTCGGTGTATGTAAAACAGAAGGTGGTCAAAATTCTCAATTAAACTTTGTAATAGGAGAAGACAAATTTCCAAAAAGTATTTCTAAAGGAGCCAATACTACACTTAACATGGTTTATTACTCTCTTCAAAAATTTGCTCACAAAGGAAAATAAGTTGCATATTACTTGTGACAACTGTAGCAGTCAAAATAAAAATAATTTATCACTTTTTTTTTTACTGTTGGTTAGTAATGTTAGGTTGGTATAAAGAAATTACAGTGAATTTTATAATTCCAGGTCATACAAAATTTATATGCAATTCTTTTTTTGGTAAAATAAAGAAACTATATAGAAATTATAAAATTAATATATTAATTGATATTGAACAAATTATCAATAATTCATCTAAGAGAAACATAGCAATTCTATATAACAATAGATTAGGTTGGACTTGGAATGATTTTTCTTTGTTATTTAAAGATCATTTTAAAAATTTTCTCTATATAATGCAATACCATCATTTTAGGTTTAATAATTTACCTAACAATATTGGAAAAGTTTACGTGTCAACAGAATCTGGGGGAAAAGAAATATCTTTTCAATTATTATGCGATAGTAACTTTAATGTTAATACTGCATTAGAAGCTATAAATACTAAACAATTAACAACAGAAAGAAAATACTATCTCTATACAAAAATTAGACAACATGTAGATGACTCATACAAAGATTTGTATTGCACAAATCCAGAATAAACTAAAAATAAAATAAATATTAGCCATTTATTATTTTATAAATTAAATATATGTTTTGAATCGTTTTAGCATATAGAATATAGATAATATAACTTATCAGGAAGAAACAAATAACAGTGATGTGTGTTAGAAAAGTTAAATAATGATAAACTATGAAACAGTAATGAAACATTGACAAAATGACAGTGAAATAGTAGAGAGACGGCAATGAAGTAATGGCAGCACGATAACAAAATAGGGTGGAATAGCAACGAAATAGCAATGCAGTAGCGATAATAAGAATTAAAGTGAAAAAAAAAACTAGAGAAAAAAATTTACATATAAATATGAAAAAAAGAAAAACATCAAATAGCATTAAAAAAAAGCAAAATTAGAATAAAAAAAAGATTTGGCTGCGTACTTGCGTGAACCTGAAGCAGAGAAAGCACCAAGACAATGACACAGCGACGACAGTACCAGAGTGATAACAAGAACCAAGAGAGAGAAAAAAGGTAAGAAGCGCAAGCGAAAAGGTAAGAACAAGAATTCGACTACATACCAACCAAAATCAACATATTGGACTAAAGTAAAGAAAAAAAAAGCAAACGAAGAGAATAAAAGAAAAATCGATTAAATACTTGCAAAAATCAATGTATGGTCTAAAGCAAAGAAAAACAAAGCAATAACTTAGTGATGACAGAGACCAAAAACCCGTAAAGAGAAAGAAAAGGCAAAAAATGCAAGAAACAAATAAGAGCAAGCATTTGACTACATACTAGCCTAGAACAACATATTAGAATAAAGCAGAGAAAAAAAAACAAGAAAGAGAATAGAGAAGAAATTTGTTACATACTTGCAAAAATCAATTTATGAATTTCAAGCAAAGAAAAACTTTGACAAAAGCATAGCCACGACAGAAATCAAGGTAGTGATGACAATCTGTAAAAGAGAAATAAAATAAGAAATGCCAGCAAGGAATTTGATTACATATCTGCTAAGATCAAAATATTTGACTGAAGCAGCGAAAGTAACGATAGTAAATCTATAGCTCAAGGTGTAATAAAAAACAAAAGCCACGAAGAGAGAAAAAGACAGAAGTTTAACTAGAAAAACAATAAATTAGCTTCAAAATCAAAAACGTGACTCCAATATTACAGTATATGGACCTAAAATCAGAAAACGTAAAATACCATACAATTAAAAAAAAAAAAAAAAAAAAAAAGCAATTTATATTTAAAGTTTGTATTATATTACAGTACGCGGTAGTGATACTCTTGAAAGTTCTGAAGTTGGTTTATTGTCTACGTAGATCACTTCTCAAATCTATTTTTAGATTTTATATTCAAAAAACCCGGAACTGGATAATTCATTTTTGTACTAAAATAATATGGTATAAAATTTATACTGGATAAAGTTCATTTATAAGAGATGAATATGCAACCAAAATCTCATTTTTGGTTGGAGGGACCTCGGAACCCTATTTTCCTGGCAAAGCACCCATATGTTCGAGAATCTTTTTAAAATTAGCTTTACAAAAATAGTAAAATATTAAATGTATATTGATTGACGTTGATATTTTTGTGTAATGATGCGACGATTTTTATTGGTGAAACAAAT